ATTTTTGTCCGGAGTCCAGCTTCAACTAGAAAGTCGTGAAGTATATCTGCATTTCAGTTTCAGTCTTTAGATTTCCCAACATCCAAAGCCATCCAAATGTTATATGGCTGGGATATTTTACCTTGAAGTGAACTCCTTGTTTCTCCATTCTCCTATATCATAAAAAAAGACAATTATAAAAAAACAAATTTATAACCTCCATTTTTTAAGTCGATTAATAGACCTGTCAAATTCCAGTTAAATAAATGATCGTAAAATATGTAGGTCGTATTCAGGTATCATTTCAATGGATTATAATGATCAATCACTGCACCAAGTCCGCCGTATCCTGTGGGAGAGGGGTCGAGGGGGGGTAATTAGCGGTAATTGGGGCTCGGTTGTCCAGCCAAACTGCATTATAGTGCAGTTGCGATTTATTAAAGCAACCCTCGGGGGACTTTTGCGCAATAAAAGAGGTATAGAGCCAATTACATTAGGGCTTTAACATTTTGAAATAAGTTTTATGTTTACAATACATGTGAAATCCTGTTTCCCACCGCGGACCGTAGGGCAAACGCATCTTTCAACAGTTCAGATCAAGCCTTTGTACGGGAACAATTTGTTGTTTACCCGAAATTCGAATTCGTGACCTCTTGCGCTTATTTGTATAAGCTTTTCTCATGATGGCAGTGTATAAATTAAAAATCTTTTTAGATTGAAAAAAATTACGACACGAGCGGGACTTGACCGCGGCTGCGGTGGGTATTTCAGGTTTTCATCTTAAATAACGTGTTATTTAAGCGTTAAACAAGAGTAACTAAAAATGTGAATAATTAACCCGTGCGAGTGGACTAGACTGTAAATTGAAATGTTATTAAAAGTTTCCTATATCTGTTTATATGTCGTATTTGTAAGTCTATAACTTCTGTTACTTTACTTTTTAACTATTTATTTCAATAAAAATTATAAGAATTGTAATTTACAACTATCAGGTAAAAACAAATAATAATTTCGAAATTCGAACAGATATAAGGTACTTAACTTATTAAAAAGTTTACAGGCTCTTTGTATAAAACTTTTATACATAAAAATAAAACGTAATTCTTAAACGCATTTATAACTCAGTACTAAAATATTTTAATAAATTCTCTAATTTACTACTTCGGAACACAAAAAGAAAATAACTTTGAGTTTCGAAGTCATAAAATCTCGTTTCGTTAGGATAGCGAAAGCAATCTTCCTAAAATTGATACCTTTGTCTGGGTAAAAGCATTTTTATAGTTAAAACATATTCTTAGATGCACACTCGCTAAAATGCTATGATTATCTCTATGTGTGTAGTTTACGTTAGTAGTACACATTTAAATAAAACACTTTAACGGTTTAAAACGCGATATATATTAGTTAAACTTATTTGGAAATTATTTCAACTTCGGCCCAACGTTTCGGATGCTATGCAGCAGCCGTGGTCACTGCTGCAAAGTTAAAAATCATTTTCAGAAAAGTGGAGACTAAAGATGGAGTGTGTCTTTGATGTCATAGTAAAGATGGTGCTAGCGTAGCAGTTCTTATATTTAAATTGGAAGCTTTAGAATGTAATATCAGTTTATCATCTGTTACAGTATTAATACGAGGAATATTATATTGTCTAAAATAAACGTGGAAAACTTATTTAAATGATTTTAGCAAAGATTAAACAGCTGTGCCTCCGCGACGAAGCGCACTACACTAAATTCATACGAAGCTCTCAGTATTTTCTCATACACGTGAATAACATAAACGCTCCAGTGCTCCCGCTTTGAAGAATCCGCCTTTTGTATTTCTTGACTATAAGCGGAAATCTAATAGGATCTCCTAATTGAACCTAGAATTATTTTGTTCGTGAAAGAAATTGAATTTATCGCAATAATCAGGTTGAATGAAAACCGAGTTCCGAGTTAGGATTTAAAACACAATTTTATTAAAGTAAAATTTGTGTATTGCTTAAAAGGTATCTGGTTTGAATCCCGCTTATGTCATGGATTATTTAATATTGTGGCCCAGTGCCCCAGCTATTAACTTGGGATATTAATTCAAGTCACAAGAAAAACAGACATAGATTTTAATAAGCTCTTAATATGGGTTTGAGTCCTGTGAAGAAAAAATAAATTGCTTTCATCGAGCACAGCAAGAGATCTGATCAAATACTTGCCATCATCAGCAAATCAGAAACAGATATGTGTTCGCCCCATACCTCACACGGAACCGGATTTTGGTTCATATGAATGTAAATATTACTATGAAGACGAGAGCTAAAAATATTTCAGAATGACGTCAAGACTAATAGACGGGCTCGTTGGTCAAATGGTAGCAATTAAACGCTAGAAATCAACGTTCGTGAGTTTGATCCCCACTGAGACCAACATGTTTTATAATCTATACTAATATATAAAGCTGAAGAGTTTGTTTGTTTGAAGGCGTTAAACTCAGAAACTACGGGTTGGAATTGAAATTTTTGTGTGGGTTAGAGTATTTATCGAGGAAGGCTATAGACTATAAAACGTCGACTTGTTGAATAGGAGAGAAGGTACAGCGAGAAATATGACAGAAAATGGGAAAATTATTTATCATTCTAAGTTTCCGAGGCGTACACTGCAAAAACGGTTCAAGATACCCAAAAAATATGTAATGTAAAAGAATGATTCCTCTTTAAATGACCAAAAAAAGTCCGAGACTATATGTCTATCTTTTAAGATTAACTTGCAAGAACAACGGGAAAGAACGCAACCGATTTATAATTTTTTTCGAAACATATTGGAATTCGTCTGGAAATCTGCAAATAAAATTCCGTTCAAGACAGGAACCACGATCCATACATTACGACGAATTACTAGAGTGGACTAATAGCGATTGAGTTCGAAGGTTTCCCAAAGTAATATTTTGAAGGTGCGTCGAAGATTTCATTTTGAATAAATTCTCGAAGGGAGCTTTAATCAAGGGAAATAAGGTTTCGTAAATCGGGTCGGCTGTGTCGTTATCGCCTCAGGCCCTTGCACCCTAATTATATAGAATGGCCTATGCGACAGTGATTCGAATTAGTTAATTAAAACTTTCAAGTATTCCACTAAAAGGTAAACTAAATATAAATATTTAGTACCTTAAAAACGCAAAATATCTTAGTTAACTCATCTACAATTAATTTACTAACGACTCGAAGTTTCGCAAAATTAAAATTAAATAAGTTAACGTATATATTTCGCGTTTTAAACCGTTAAAAGTGTTTTATTTTAATGTGTACTATTAGCGTAAACTACAGACAATATTTATAACTTTGCTTATGTCCGATGGCAATTGATGGGTAGTCACCTCTTGGATACCCCCAGGTACAATATGACTTATATAATAGCTGATAATCGAAAACTGTTAAATTATATCTAAAGATTACATTGATGGGAAAAAATATCCCAATTCATTCCTGGGTCACGAACCATCATATAGGTAAACCCCGGTTGTGGATTGATAAATGTCCAAAGCCAAAATACTTCGCCAGCGTATCTTGTTAAGATGTTACATGGCTGAGCATTTATCTTCTATCAAGTGAACTTGTCTGTCCGTCTGTGTCATAAAAAAGATAATAAAGGACAAATTTTATTGCATCATTGTACTGTAAAATATAAACATGTCACACGCCATCCGAACTTCACAATCGCATAATTCTTAATAATTGTCGGCCATTATTTTTATCGCGAGGCCTAAGGACAGTAATAAAGTGGGGGTTTGCCTCTCGATTTATGTATTTCGCCCACCAACAGCGGCCAGGTGGGAATTTTGGTGTTAATGGCGAATTTATGAACGCTTTATCTGGCTTTATGGCTCACTTCGGTATAGCGCATACTAAATTAACAGTCTTCGAACCATCTAAGTTAATGGTTTTATTGGTTTGTCGGGGTTTTATGTTCGAATTTTCGAACTCGTTCAGTGCTGTAGCTATATTTCCTTGCTTGGAATATAGTCTGTTTCAATAATTTCCCTCTTTTCTTTAAGTATAAGACCTAACCCTAGACATCCGATGGCCTTTCACTTAAAAACGTCAAAGAACAGCACCTCTTTTTTCAATCCTATTGTTTGCATGTGTAGACTATATAACGAATACCCTTCACGCATGTGTTGCCAGTTGGACGTTTTCAACAACAACATAATATTTCATTTTTGTAAAAAAAACACGAAACCATTTAATTTAGGAATTAACAGTAACTAAATAAAAATGATGTTACCGTAACATAACATAATTTCTACTTATTTTATATAATTACATACCAATCTTTATATTATATTTGATAACAGTACGATTTAGTTATCTCCATGTACGCATGCAATTGAGATACAAACTTAATTTATCACATAGTTCTTTAAGACTTATTGTTTATAGTTTGTGTACCTTTTGAATAAATAGATAAAATATATAATCAAATGTCAGTGTTAATGTCAACGTCAATGTCAATGTCAAACTTAACGGCAAAATCAAAGAGATATGATTTACATAATAACTGTTCAAAGCTGACCTTATATTTTCCAATTACACAGTTGCCACATAATAAACTTGCTGATCCTACCAAACTCTTTTTTTGTTTTCAAGAATAATATTATTGATTCAACTCTACCAAAATAAGTTAGTAAAGTGCCCTAATTTGTTTCCTATAACTACGGTTCTTACAAGGTTATCTTAAATGGTATGATATAACATAAAAAATATCATGGACATATTTTAGATTATTTAAAAAAGAATTTTTGGTTTCTTGAACCGTATTTGCAGGGCACGCGCTCTGAAATATTAATGATTTCCCCGTGATTATATAAAGCCTTCTCGATAAATGGTCTACCTAACACAAACGATTTTTAATTCGAAGCAGTAGTTTCTGAGACTAATCCTGGACAAACAAATAACTTTTCAGGTGTATAATATGAAGACCTGGAGACGTGTTTGTTTTTTGAATGTTGTTGTATTGAAAAAAAAATGATTAAAAAGTACTTGTAATTATTTTTTAGTTTCTTATAATGGGTTTTAATGTTTCATCACATGTCCATGATCCTGGTTCTTTATTCTTGAATTTGTCTAGAAGACTCTCTATGACGTCACGGCCTGGCTGGTACGGCACTCTGCTAAAAATAACCAGGTCACCAGTGGAACAGTCTCTCACTGTCAGCAGATTCTTCATCACAAACCATTGATCGGGGTTGTCGTGTATTAAATGGTTTGTTGTATCTGTGGAAAATGTAAAGATTTTAGGACACTTAAATAAAACACTTTTAACGGATTAAAACAGGAAATAATTCGTTTTACTTTACGTTGATCAAGGGGTATCACGTAGTTAATTAAAAATAAGTAAATGAATATGTTCAAACTAAAAATCCTTACTAATATTCTAAATGTGAAAGTAACTCTGTCTGTCTGTTACTCTTTCACGCCAAAACTACTGAACGGATTTGAATGAAATTTGGTACACGAACGTAAAGGACATAGCTTTTTTTCATAAAAGTAAAAAAAGCCATAACCTTTCTCAGTTAAAGTTTGTATGGAAATTCGTGGTTTTTGAAGCTAGAACAATGAAACTTTCTTCTTTGGCTTTTTGGGTGAGCGTGGAAGTGAGTGTAGGAATGAGAGTGGGAGTTAGAGTAGGAGCAATGTGAGGTGAGAATGTAGATAAATGCGCAATCACATAAATTAATAAACAGCCTCAATAATAAAAAATCCTACCACAAGTCACTATTCTACGCGAATGAAGTCGCGGGTACAGCTAGTAAGGTTATAAGTTAAAAAGATACGACACGCGCTGGGTTTGAACCGGTAACCACAGCGATCCGTGCTGTTGCTGTAACCCGGGACGTAATTTTTTTTTTATTTATAATTAATTTTTAATATATATAGTATCATCTTGTGGAAACATGTTAAAAGTATTGTGGTTTTAAAAATTAGATTAGATTAATTAATATTTTATAATTTTTTTAGTGTGCAATAAAATGTGAAAAGTTGTCATAAGCGTGTTAACCCAAACAAAAGAGTAATGCATTTACGATCTTGGATCTCAGTTTTGAATAAAATATAAGCAAAAGGTGCATCGCACATGATGAGGTTGCATTCTAAAAGTGCAACAAATGTTCATTTCAAACGTGAAATTTGGAGCATAATATAAAGCTGAGTTATGAGATGTCGCGAGCAGGGAATTTACGAGCAGCCTTTGTGAAATTTGACTTTCTGTGTCACAATCTTGGCAAGTGTTATTTTAGTGGCCGTGAAAATTATGCCAGGAAATATTAGTGAGTGAGCTCATGGGAATTTCCTTTCTCGGTGATACTTGTTATCTTATCTTGTATTAAATTTAATGATCATGACTTTTGTACTTAAAAATTAAGTTTGACTAATACTTCTTTCTATTTAGAAAGGAAAAACAAAAGAAAATTAATCCAATACATACGACAAATTAGTGTTACATCTTATTTTTCAGTTTATTTAACTTTTTAAAGTATTTTAAATGAAATACTTGTTTCGTCCTATTTCCGTTATTTTATTTATGTGAACTCATTATTTTCGGCTGTCCTCTAGATGTCGTCCATGGGGCAAGAAAACCGGTCCAGCAGCAGCCTTTAAAGTACTTACCCATTTCTATAATAATGTTGAGCAATATCCCGTGGTTCGCGATGGTTTGTTGCAAGAAGTGCCTTCGTTTGACGACTTGGACTCCCGTCGCTTTTATCTCTAAAGTGCAATTATCCCAATGAACATCATCACTTAGTAATCCATAGCTTGCTTGGTTCGATTTCCTCTCCTATATAATAGAAAAAACAGTTTAAACGAGATATACATTTATTCACTTCAAAAATAACATCCACGTCAGTACTCAGATTGTATTACGAAGATTTTCCTTTATATAATATGTTAACATAGTAAATTAGTTTTAGTTAAAATTTAAAAGTACTGAATCGTTCAACGTGCTTAAGCTAATACTTTTACATAGCTTTTAAATAAAACACTTTAAGACGCGGTATATATATTAGTTAAACTTATTTGAAAATTATTTTAACTACGGCCCGACGATTGGGATGCTTTGCAGCAGTCGTGGTCAGGGAAACCACAGACAGTATTAACATAGCAAAGAAAATGTTTGAAAACTTTATTATTTTTCACATGTTATTGCACATGATTTCCCTATATAATTTAAAAATCGAAGATAAATTGAATTTTTTTTTCCACCAGAAAATTTTTTCAATTTATTTTCGATTTTTTGAATTACAAAGAAAATGTTGTTTTTTTAAATTCACATACATTTTTTTATACCAAATACACTACTCTCTTTTTTTATTATTTTTAAACTAATAATCGTGCATTATCTGTGTATAATAAATACGTTATTTTTATTATACATAGATAATGCACAATTATTATAACATTTTTAAATAGATCCGACTTAACTTGGACAGCTTGATAAAAAGACAATATAATATTGAGGTGCCTAACTACAAAGTTTGTGAGTACACACTTTGTTATACAAACTTCTCTAGCAAAGAAAGTTTATCCGCATTGTTCCCATTCGTTCTAGTCAACTTACCTCCTCACCAACTTTCTTGATTAACATTTTGAAACATGGCACTTTATCCGGCGCACTATGGTATACGGTCTGCCACACATCCGCCAGCTTGTCAATATTAAATCTATTATTTTCTATATAACGCGGACATATATCACCACTAAAATCATCGCTTTGCGAATAAAAGTGCGACGGTAAGCTACGCTTGTCTTTATTTAAATTATCTGCGCTTGCGCAACTAAAAGACGCAAGAACTAGAATTATTCTTTGGTGACTTAGTGACATTTCGATTTCTACTTCTCACTGAAACTCCCAACTCATAATTGAGTATTGTTTGGATCGCACTGTTCAAATTGTTATCAAACAATTGTTGAATATTGTTTGTCTTAATTGTTTCTCTGTTTGTTTACCCTCGTGGAAGAATCAGATTACATTTAAATCAATCACTTTTAATAGTTCAAAACGTGAAATATATTATTAAACAATATTTATTAGTTTCAATGTGGTGGATGGTATATTATATTTGTTACTTTTTCACGGTTCACTTGACCATACCAGGAGATTTACAATTTTCATAATACTTCGAACCCGTAAATTTCATACAAATTCGTACACTAAATTATATTTTTGAGTGATCTTAATAGTTCTTTAGATATAAAAACAATAAATCCAATAAAATATAATAAAAAATTATAGAATCTTTGTCACAAACGGTAGTGGAGTCGGAATTCTTTAAAATATTTCTTTTGTTTAATAAAATAATATTTAATAAATATTAATAAATAACTTCGTATTTGCAATACGTGCGTAAATGAAACCTTCGTGTTTTGAACTGTGATTTATATACATATATTAGTTGCGGGAGTTTGCAGGTGCTAGCTGTACCACTGCAGATGGGTAAATTACTCCATTTATCGACAATTTAATCAGGAACACGTAGTCATAACTAATTAGCATGTAAGTCTTGAAGTTCAGAACAGCTAAGTGCAGCAAGTTCTGAAGTTTGCAGTACAAGTGGAGGGTAGATTCGTTAAGGAATTTGTAGTGTAACAAAACTTTAAGTTGCATCTGCCTCCTTGGTTCAATGGTATGGCGCATTGCAACAGCATTATAGTGTAAGTTACTTCGTTCGAACACCGGTAGAATATATTTTATTGTGCACAATATTGTATTTTATCACTTGCCTGTAAATATAATTTAACTAAAAAAAATAAAAAGCGATTGTTTGAGTGTCTGGCTAATGAAATTATGTTAGTATCAATTGTTTTGTTAAAATATTTAAGGTGTTAAAATAATAATAGTTTTTACATATTTGTGTACGCTTTTATAAATTATATATGAATGGACTCGAGTCCCCGATCTAGAGCATGACGCGATGTTTCTCTACTGCTAAGCAACGATGTCAAACAATAGTACATTTTTTTATGAATCTAGCGCAATATAATTTTAACATTAACAACTGGCTATGAAAATTGCACAAAATCGGACAACACCCTCAATTAAAAATCAAAAAAATATTATCTTAAGCAGTTTTGCGAGAAGTACAGATTTAATTTAAACACTTTTAACGGTTTAAAACGCAACTTGCGTTTGGCAGGTGTTATCTAATTATTAACGTAATAAGTTTCTAAGTTCTTTAAAAAACTGAAGTATTCTTATAACAAGTTGTTAAGATCAACAAACCAATTTGGCAGTCGTATAAGACGTTTATGAATTTGCCTTGTCTTCCTAACAATGGAGAAAATCTTTTACACAGTGCAATTAAAACAGTCGGGCTACAAATACAGAATTATAGGATTAATCAAAGAGGAATTATACATTAGTACTGTATCGATGAATGCCACATATATACTCGTATAAACAGATTAAATGAAAAACTTGTAATGCCTCGGAAAGTTTAACTTATAAAACATTTTATAAGAGCTTGGTACAAAAATATTTTCTACTAATAGTCGCCACTAGGCTAAAACGACGTGGAATTGTCACCTAAAAAAACTTTCGCAAGAACATCCCAACTGTTTCAAACAAACTGTGCCCACTCCCGAGATGCATTGGAACACAGAAGTTTAACAATGCACATGTATTCTCCGGGCGGTATTAACACGAATGAGATAACGAATATGGTTTTAAGCTTAGGTCCATTAGCCTGCGTTATTATGACTATTTTCCATTTATTTACCTTGAGGTGTATTTGAAATCCGTAGAAAGTTGGCCAGTAGGACGAGCTGTCGAGTCATATTTGCTTTGCAATTTTACATTGAAAAATCTTCTTGTTACAGTTATTCTATTGTATCTATACTTTATTATAAATCTAAAAGAGTTTGTTAGTCTAAACGCACTAATCGCAGCAACTATGGTTTCGAATTGAAAATTTTGTCTTAGTTGGAACATTTACTGTACCAATATGAGCGAAGAACAGGGAAAATTATGTATGTTTGTGGCCTTCCGTTGCGCTGCGAAAACGGTTTAAGTAAGCAAAAAATGTTTGAAAGAATGTTTCTTCCTTAAATGATCTAAAAAAATATCCCCGATAGTATGTCTATTTTTTGCGACCCCAACGGCGGGCTACGGACGACGTCGTGGGTAACAGCCACGATTTATAAATCTGAGTAAGTTGTTTGAAAAAAGAAATAATATGACCACCAAAACAACTATTTCACGGGAACAAAGTCACGGGCACAGCTAGTTAACAAAATAAGGTTACAACGCAGTTTCAAATTCTGATATCATACAACACACATAACAAATACGTGTTAATTTTGTATTCACTGTAATGTCTGTAATAAAATAAATTCGATCCAATGTTAGAATAACCGCACGTAGTCCCCGTACAAAACAAATATCTCTGATCAGTGTCGGAAAAACCATTTAATCCCGATATATTTCTCCGGAACCCCGTTTTTGCCTCCACAGAATGTTAATTTTCATTACTGTAGCATTAATGACATTGATATTATGACTTACGTCAGTATGATGATAAATGCCTCAATTACAAGTAACAAGGCCTAAGCCAATTATATTAATTGAATAAAAAAATCACAAACAAGGCAAACAAGAAACGCGATGCATACGAGAAACTACATATTTCGTTTTTGTCCCTTTCATAATAAAAAATAAACAATTTATGTATAAAGTGACCATAAATAACTTAAATGGTTTTATAAAATCGCTCTATCTATCACTACTAATATTATAAATGCGAAAGTCTGTCTGTCTGTCTGCCTGTCCGGCTTTCACGCCGAAAGTACTGATCCGATTTAAATTAAATTTGGTATACAGATATTCTATAGCCTGAGAAAGGACATAGGCTAAAAAGGGTTGTTCGGGGTTGAAAAGGGGGATGAAAGTTTGTATGGAAATTCGTGATTTTTAAAACTAGAACAATGAATCGTTCTTCTTTAACTTTTTGGGAATGGAAGTGAGAGTATAAGTGAGAGTGGCAATGAGTCTATTAGTGAGAACACATCTAGTTTATAATATAATGCAGCATAATATATATAACTTAAACTATGTTATAAAATTGTTTAAATTAGCAAGCAAGGCGTTCTATTAGGTCTTTTATGCACAACTGTAAATTCTATACACTGTGGTTCTCGTACTGTTGTTAAATAACGACATTGTTTGTATCCGATCGCCTCTATTTATCAACCTACAGCAATAAAGATTCGACTTTCAGGAGTACAAATAATGACCACTTGTTTTTACACTACCTTATCAGGATGAGATTGGAATAATGTTTATAGAGCAAGGTGGACTGAATTTTACTAGTTTGATATGTCATTTAAAATATGTAATAGTATATAGAATAAAAAAAACTTTATAAGAATTATATTTCCACATAAAATACATATTATATTTAATTAGATCATTATATTATGAGTAAACAAGTTATAAATGCTTCGTTGTTAAAAGAAACGGTTACATACTAGATTAACCTTTATACTAAAAAATATAAGTTATGTCTAAATTAATAGTGTAGAAAAAATACATATGAAAAAAATAAAATAAACTACATAAACCCTTAATTATCAATTTTTTATTATTTATAGTCAAAAAATAAAAGCTCAGCCATTTTCAAATTAGTTCTACCATAATTTAGTATATTAGATGGTGTTTCTGTATAACCAATTTGGGTGAATTAAATGAATCCTTTTACTATTTTCTTGCGTAAATTCATATTTCATCAGAGCTTTATAAGTTGCCAAGAAGCGGCCGCTGCGAGATATTTTTTATATAAGGGGTAAACAAATTTATCTCAGCCCCAAGGCAAAGTAAACAGCACATATAATGCGCAGCTCTATCCACAGACTATATCGTTCCACAGAGTATTGTTGCACTAAATTCCGCCACTGAAACGTATTGAACATTATCTGTAGCTTACGTAAAATATATTGGTCGACTTGTCCCGCTACTAGCTTCCGAAAGGTCGGAAATTGTTTAAAATAAGTTGACCAATTATTATCGAGTTTAAAACCGTTAAATATGTTTTATTTCAATGTGTTGAGCAGATGCTATCCTACCACAAACAGCTATTATAGCTGAGACTAAGACCTTGATCTCATTATTATTGAACGTTTTTATGAAGACGTAACTTAAATAAAAATTTCATTTATTTGTATTTAGTCATTTTCAGACAATCCACCATTTTGCTAACATCCAGAACACCTTATATTAATGCAGCAGCTTCGTATTGAGAGATACTTATGTGTAGTGAATTTCAAATACATAATTTTAATTAGACACGTAGTACCGTGTAACACGAGTTAGACTGGAACCAACGACAAACTGCGCAATGTATTATTTCTCTACAAATAGAGCAATTGTGCTCGTTAAAACGTTTAGGTATTTTTGACGTTTTGGTTATGCTACATTAACAGCGGACCAAAACTCGAATTACTCTATGCGCTTGCACATATTTTATTATCACTTTGAATGATTACTTCACCTGTAAACTGCCTTTACGTCAGCAGAAACGCTTCCAAAATGCACGGAGCAGTAAAATTTTATGGGCGTCATGAAGCTACGGTGGACATTAAATAAATTGGATAAAAGTCAAAGCGATAAGATGCGAGTCGCAAAGAGCTCATTAACTATACTTTGAAACAAAAAATACTCCACAAAGCTTTTCCTTTGAACTGTCGTTAAATTTTGGATACTCAGAAATTAATTGGCGCGATCCGTTTTCGTTGTAATACTTCATGTCGAAAGATTTCACTCCGCTCTTTTTGATGTTTATAAAAAGTTTGTATTATTCATTTAGTTCTGGCTGGTTTACTCGTTTTTTT